GCCAAGGGCCTCTCTGCAGAGCCTGTCTTGTAAGGACCCTCATCCTACTCATGCAGGCTCCACCATCATGAATCACCAAGCAGAGGCCTCACCTCCAAATACCTACCTCGTCCTCCTCCAGCGGGAGGATTTCAGCCAGGCATTAAACATGCAGATCACAGAGCTGACCAGACTGTTCTTGCTACAGGTTTTAGAGGTGATGTGTAACGAGGATGGAGGATTCATCTAGCTACAGAGGCACACATCGCCAAGTTAGTGTTCTCCGGGTTTATCACCCACTACCTTAGTAGGCAAATTTGATATTGAATTTTATTTGGCTTCACCACAATAATGACAATATCAACAGCAAAGTCAACTTTAAAATAATGCGTGCAGACACCAAACATGTTTCTGAAAATAAAATTACAGAAATATTTGTGCTGGGGGAGCCTCACAGGTCGAAGTCAAAGCACAAAAGAGGATAAGAGGCCGTTCCAGGGTGACTGAAGGGCTGGGACTGGCTGGATCTGAACCTCAGCACCTGTTCTTAACTCTGCCTCTCTTTCTTCATCTGTAAAAAGGCAGAAGCAATACAAAGCAATACAAAGCTCATTTACAAAGCTGTCATGAAGATCCGGTGGATGGATCTGTGTGACCTGCACAGATATTTTCTGGTACTTGGCAATCGCTCAGTGAAGAAGGCCAGCCATTATCATTAGAACTGTGCAGTTTATGGACCTGTTAGTTTTGAAAAAGACAAAATAGGCATTTAATATGCCTGCTAGAAAGAGCCGGCCTCTATGCCATGATGGTCACCTTCACTAGGACGTCCAGACCTCCGGTCACACGTTTTTCTGGGTGTCTGTGGAGAGGTCTCTGATGGAGATGAGCATCTGAGTTAGGAGCCTAAGTAAACCATCTTGTCCTCCCTACCTGGGTGGAGCTCATGAACTCAGCTGAAGACAGAATACAGCAATAATTCCACTGAGTCCTCACTGCCTTAGCTGCATTGTGGTCTTTTCTTACCTTTGAATGACTTTTCTTAGTTTTAAGCCTGCAGATTTAGGGTCCTGAATTTAGCAATCAGTTCTGCAGGGTTTGCAATTTGGTTGGCATTGATCAGCTTCCGCTGTCAGGTGATGGTATTGGGAAGACTGAAAGATAAAAGCTGGAGGCTGCTGGCTGAGGGGCTGCACCCTGGGGCAGGGAGGCCCTGCCTCCCCCAGACAGGGGCCTGGTGCTGAGGAAAATGCTTGTGTAAGCAAACCCTTCCTTCCGGTAAAGACTCTGTTCTTTTCAAAATATACTTCTGTATCTGACTCTTTCACTTTGATTTAACTTTATATCAATGGCCACCGAGGTGGCTCTAGGACACAGCCTCTCACATTGACACCTGGAAGTGTAGTGCGGCCCTGACTGAAGAAGCTCCGTGTTACATGGTTGTTGAGATAGTCCCAGTTTGGCAAATCTGTTTCCCCTCTACTTTCAAAAGAAGCTGAATCGATCCTCTGTCACAGACTCCACCGCCCTTGTGCATTACAAATGGAGGCCCCAGATGTGTTTCACTCTGTGGAAAATACTCCCATTGCCAATTAATACCAACTGAAGAAAGACAGGTGTAAATTTTGTAAAACCAAAAATGCATCTCATTTCCCAAGGAACTATTTCAGCAACTAAAAGATGAATGTGCTGAACATAACTTGTCTTTACCACCAATTCTATCGTGTTAAAGAAGAACATACTCTCACTGCAGACCCTAATACCATAAAACCCCCACCAAAACACTTATTTCCCTGCAGAAGGCATCTAATTTGTTTTTTCAATATTTGATATTCTCATATCAATATTTTCTTAGAAATGGATAGATATTGACACAGTCCAGGGATGCTGTTTTTGCAAGAAGCAAAAAATCATTTTATCTCAGAGGTTTTCTTCCAAACGTTTGTTGCAATATACGTTTTTAGAGATAAGTCTTATTATTCTGAAATATGATTTGGACAAGCAGCAGATGGACAGCACATCATTAGTTTAATTCTTGTGCTCCTTCATGTTGTCTAAAGGGAAGACCTTGTTAACTGACTGCTATATGTATCATAAACTCTAAAATACAAAAGGTGGTGACATCACACCCATCTTCCTGGCCAGTTGTCTCCAAATCTGGAGATAGATAATATTTCTAGGAACTCCAAAGGCAGTGTCCTTATTTGGACAACGTAGACCTGTCCTCAAGTACAATAACCTTGTAGACAGCCTTCTGGCTCTCTCAATACCTACCTCTTCCTCCAGTGGGACCCTCAATCCATCCCAGCCACCTGCAAGCATCCCGTGCCCTGCTGGCTCAGGTTTCCTTCTCTGGACCCCCTGCTCAAAGTACTGAGCTCTAAGAAAATGTCTTTCTGTGTTTGTTTCAGCCTTAGTGGTACACATTTGTCTGCCTTGGGTCTTTCTTCTAGGACTGTTCTTGTTCCTTATGATCAAGTTTAGTAAGTGTATTAGACTGAGTCCCTCTCAAATAAAGTATTTACATTAGAAAGAATCTTCTGTGATTTACTCTTATAGGGAAAACCAGGATAGTGAATTACAGGCTCCACACTCTAGCAGGTGGAAGAGATTTTGATGACAAAAGAATTCCAGTTGCTTCAACTGTAGAAACAATGGTGTTGTGATATTTTTGAAGGACACACTTTCCTTAGCAGGGAACAGGGAACATTTGGTAGCAGTGACTATAGCAGTGATTACAGCTATTAAAGGTAAGACGCTCTTGGACACAAAGGACTTATTTTAGATAGACAGATAAATAACATCAACTCTCTGGGCCACAGTGTGACATCTGATGTTTCCAGAAGAAAAGGACAATTCATATGTCCAACAATGTCTAAGCAAACACATGCTAGTGAGAGATATTTGAGGAGTGTGGAAAAAGAAAATTGACCAATGGGGAAGTTTCCAGGCACTCCTAATACGTATCCCTTCTGAGATAATTTCTTGTATGAGTTCTCTATAAGGACTTATTAGCTGGAAAGCTCTATTAAAAAATAATCTTTAACCTTTTCTTTGTAGGGGTGGGATAAGGGACAGATCTATGAAATCATTATTTTTAATGTAAAGATACTGTAACTGAGTAACTAATATAGGTAGAAAATTCTAGAAAATTCTGGAAATTTCTTTTGTAGCTCAAGAGCTTTTTTTGTAAGATATTTTTGGTATTTTTTTAAGAAATCAGTAAAAATACTTTAAGCCTTGTTTTTCTCAGTACTTAGGTGGATCTCAGAGTTTCCTACTTCACTTTACAGTGAAGAAAAAAGGATTATTTTAGTTCATGGTGTGTGTTATGAATATCATTGTATCTAATAGGAGTTGAAAGCTTCTTTGTGAGAAATCTGTGAGTTTTTGTAGCCTCAGTGTTGGTGAGGATAGTGTTCCCTGGCAAAAAGTCACAATTTGCACTTTGCAAATATAAACAAAACCAGTACAGAAATAATAGGTCCCAGGACCAAGGAACAAAAATAACACACACACACACATACACAAATGAGAGTAAGTCGGGCACTTGACTGATGTAGCAATTTATGACTCTCATTTGCTGCACTGGAAACTGATGGTTTGGGAACCAGACAGAAGCCTCCTGGTCACGTCATGTAACTGGTGAGGCTCTCTACATTAAGTTGCTTGTTTTAAGCGCCTTGGAGACGCGATACCCATGCATTCTCAATAAAACTAAATCTTGTAATGTGCCGGGTCAATTGTGGAGCAGAAAAAACATTGCGTTTGTTAAACAAGCTTCCAGCTCTCCAGGCTGTTGTAACAGCCTGGAAGTGAGGGCTGTATTTTAATCAGACTACTTGTGCTGCTGAACACAGCCTGGTTTTGGTTACTCTGTTGACATCTGCTCCCGTCTTCTGATGTTCTCTGTATTCTCCCATTCACAACTGAAATATTTCCAAATGAATGCAAATTTAATGTGTCTGGTTTCAAAGACACGGAGAAATGATGTGGAGGCGTAAGGACTCCTGTCTCCTGCAAGAAAAGTTATGGTTATTTTCCTCAATGGGGTGTAAAACATACACCATTAAGTTTCAGGAGCGTATGATACTGGCAAACTGAATCAAGATGATCCCTCCCCTAGTTAGCCTGTTTTGGCTACTGTAGAGCCCTGGGTGTTCCAGAATTACCAGTATGAACTGTCACCTCTGTTTCGTTTTTGTGTTGTGGATGTAAGTGGGCACACACTGAATATTTACATTCCTTCCATACACTGTAGTGTAAAGGGAGGCTCTGATCTGTCACATTTTCGAGCCAGTTGGAAGGTTGATCTGTTGCTGGTGGGGCTGTTGTGTCCCCAAACATGTAGCTCCAGAAGAGCCTGCAGTTCCTGCCAATTCTCACTCTGTTACGCATCCTCAGCACAGCTGCCAGCACCGGAAGACTGGCAGAGCGCTCTGGGCTGCCACAGCAAAAGTCATGACGATTATGACTATGGCTATGATTGTGTTCAGTGCTGGGAAGGAAGCCGGGGCCTCGGGCATGCTAGGCAAGACTCTACCCCTGAGCTACGCCCTCAGCCCAGAATTTCAATTTTGAAAAAGCCCAATGCTGTAATGCTTTGTCTTTTACCTTCTACATCAGCTATAAGAAAAAGCCTCACACGCCCTTTCTTACCTTCGTCAGACCTGCAGAAACAGTACGAGGACATGCGCTGAGCGGGGTGCTTGACAACACTCAAGGGGAGAGGGGACGGGGGGGGGCACACAGGTGACATTTTAAAGGAGGGGTGAGAAGGGGAGGGGAAGAAATGGAAACAGAATGAAGATGTGCCATGTCCATCTGTCAGCTTCCCACGGGGCATGTGGTCATTGTGTGCTGCAGATATGTCCCAGTGGAAATAAGGATTTGAAACAGAAATTAAAAAGATAATACAGTATGAATTGTTTGAAATGTGCAAGAAGAGATTCAAAGCAGTACTCCAGGGGGCAGCTCCCTGTTCCTCTGTTCGCGTGACTGCGTGAGACGTTGGGAAGAGGAGCCCTGCTCTTTGCCAGCGCTTCTCCATGCTCGGCATCGTCCTCTGCGATTGGGCTGGAGTTGCTGGGCAGCAGTGACCTGACCACTGGGCACGCTGCCATCTGCCAGCTTCTCAAGGACCAGGGCTGTGCCTTTCCCCTCCTGGTACCCAAGGACACAGCACAGGGTCTCTAAACGGCAGCTGCTCGCGAGGCCGCTGCAGGAATGGTATAGCCTCTGCTTACCGGCTGCCCGTCTTTTCCTGAGCTGTTCTCTGGGCACAGGTCACAGGAGCTGAAGTTGGCCACAGGGAGGCCTCGGAAGGGCTGTACGGGCAGGTGACTGGGCCATGAGCTGGAGTACATGGCCTGGGGGACTTTCCCAAGGTCAACCCAGGAGATGGGTTTCTAGGACCTTTCCGAGGTGCAGGTCTGGGCCAGCACTGCAGTTGTAGGGTAAGAAACCAATGGCCTTCTCCCCTGCTTTCCTTTCCTCTCCCCTCTATTCTGGCCCCCTCTCCTCTTCTCTCCCCTCTTCTCCCTTCCCCCCAGTTCCCTTTCCTCCTCTGAGCAGTTACTTGCTACCCATATTTCAGAGCTCCATCCCTTCTGAATCCCAAAGAACCGCTGCATAAAGTTGGATACTAAAATCCAAGAGGCCCGGAGACAGAGGATTATTTGAGTGGCTATTAATGAGGCTATTATTTTGAAATCCTTGAAAGAGCTCCTACGACCACTTGACTGAGAGCCTAGCACAATTCCAGATGGCAGCTCTACCCTCTGTTGTACTGTTCTTTCCTGCCATCTCCATCTTTTCTTTTGCTCATGAAATTTTCTTTTATTGTTGTCTGCTCTGACATGCAAGATTTCTGAAATGGCACCAGGGCAATGGTGGGAGCTCCGTCTACAGTACACACAGGGCAGGGGAAGGAGGATGTCTGAGGAAAAGGAGCAGGTGCAGTAGGGAAGTTAGAGCTATCATGTACTTTTGTTTTCTGCTTGACCTAAGATCTCTCTGTAGAGCTCACTTTCCCCCCACCCTTCCACTTTTTTCCCTACCTTTAATAAATGTGAAACTTTGCCACTATTTAAAAAAAAGAATGATGCACAGGCCACCTCCACACTGGAAACAGCCTGTACCTGGGGAGTCAGTGCCATTCACAGACTGCAGGGAGAGAGAACAGTGCTGACCAGCAAACAGGCCCAGTCTGGGGACCAGTGCCTGCACAGGCTCCGCCAGACTGGGAACAGCCAGACCCTAGCCCCTTCCAGTGTGTGAGCTGGCAAACAAAGAGTACCGATCCCTGCCTCCACCCAAAAGCAACCAGCTGATCTGCAGAAACACAGGCTGTGATGAGAGCCGTGGAGGTGAAATGCAATTGGATGCCTGTGATGCTCTGGTTTCTCACTAACATTGCAGGTCTAGGCCAGTGGTCTGATCATGGGTTCAGAGCATAGCGGTACGCAGTGTGGCATTTGGGGGGATCTCCTTCTGAGGGCTGCAGCCATTGTTGGTTCCCTATGGTCTTGTTTTGAGTTGTATCATTTCCATTGTTTTGTTGGGTTGGGTTTTATTCTCTTTTGTTTTGTTTGATTATGTTAAAGCTAATGGCGGGAGAAGTTGTTTCAAGGGTGGCAGTATACATTATGGTAGCAATTTTGGCTTTACTATTGGTTTGTTTTGAGATCCTTTCTTGCGATCATTGTTTTGTTTTTGTTATTTCCATTCTATTCTATTTGAATTTTACTATGTCTGAAGTTCTCTGCAGCTATTTTTCTTTTAATCAGTTCCAGGGATCGAACTCATGACTGCCTGCTTGCAAGGCAGGCGCTTATGCCTCTGAGCTAAATCCCCAGCCCCAGCCTGCAGCTATTTTGAAGACATCAAAAGGCATTATGGTAACTACTGTTGATTTCATAATGTTTTGAAGTCCTGTATCTCTCGCACTGTTTTGTTTTGATTGGTTTTATTCTGTTTAATCCTCTTTAAAATAAAAAAAAAATTTAAATAAAAGGAAGGAAGCTGGTCTGGTCTGTGGGAGCAGAGGACAAGCCTATGGCAGTAGGTCCCCAGCAGCACTGCATTTGTTTTGTGGAGGGAAATATGTCACTATTGTACCCTGGGGCTTAGGGTTCTCCAGTGAGGGCACTAAAATTTCTCTCCATCAGCATATCCAAAAGAGTGACCGTAAAAGGAGGGATGGGAGAGGCAGAGTCAAGGGCTGGAGTTTGTTCTCAGTGGCCCTGGTCCTGCCACTGGAGTTGTTTGTCCTTCAGGAACAGCCTGGCCCATGACTTTATGCTGGGGATCAGTCAAGAGCCTTACAACAGGCCTCAGTCCAGAGCCTTGTTGGGGAGCTTCCTCCTCATGTGCCTGCACTGTAGCTAAATTTGGGAAAAGTCAGGCACATTTTCCATCAAAAATACTACTGGGAAGGAAGGGGAAGCAGTTGCATGACAGCCTGGTGTCATTTTGTCAAGCATGCAATAGTTTAAGGTAGAACGTAGATTACGGGGTGCAGAACAAGTCCCTTTGGCTGGACTGGTGGAGAGATGAGAAGAGAGCCACCTGGTGAACAGAACGTGGGGACTGAGGCCACCCCTCCATAGGAGGCCCAAGGTCATGAGAGAGCAGCAGGCAGACAGACTGACCTCTGGGAATCCAGGGTGGAGCGGGTGGTGGGGTGACCATGGCCTGTGTCCACCCCATGGCAAGGGCCACCCCAGTGAATAAAGCAGAAGGCCTGAAGCGAGTCATCCACTGACCCAACGATGAGGACATCCCTGGAGAAAGGAGGCCTTATTTCACTTGTGGTCAATTGGGCTTTCTAGCTATAAAAGTCCTGTATTTAATGGAAAATACATAAAAGAAAATATTCCAAAACTGTAAATATTCAAACAACAATTAAAAAGAACTCGCGAGTAACATTTAAACACATTTGCATCATATTAATTAATTTAACAAAAGTTTTAAAGAACACTGAGAAGTAGCCAGCTGTGTACTAAGCACTCAGAGAGCCACTGTTGACAAGATCAATATGGTCACATGTTCAGTCATAAACAATTTCATGTCTTGTGTTTTTCAGGTTATAAGATGCTTTTTGCACTCAATTCTAATTCAGTGACAATTATCTGTCATCAATAAATATTCCCTTATGATATATTTGATAATACCTGCATATTATTTTATCATTTTACTCAGATAATTTAACTAAAGCCCTATTGTTAGACCTCTCGGTTATTAAATTTCTCCCTTTTTATTTTCAGAATGTGTTGAAATGAACATCCATGAATGTTTCTATTGGATTTTGTTTATTTAATACCAGAATTAGTCATCTTAACAGCTTTGCAAATGTTTCAAATCATTTACTCAGTGTATTCAAATGTAGCTGTTTATGAATTAGTGATGTTATTAGAATTAAGTATTTTGTTTCAAGCAGCACACTTTTTATATCTGCTTTCTCTGCTGAGTTGGTTAATTACTGGCCATTGTTGTAGCTCTCTCTGTGTGCACCAGTTGTCCTTTGCACACATTTGTATTTTTTCTTTACAGTTTCTGCTTCTTTTGTCATGCTTAGGAAACCTTTATGTATTACTTACTTTCTTGTTGCTACTACAAAATATCTGATACTTACAGGTTAAAGGAGGAAGGTTTGTTTTAGCTCACAGCTTATAGAGGTTTCACTCTATGGTCAGCTGGCTCCAACGGAGAACAGCAAGGTAGAAGGACATCGCAGAGGAGAAGCAGTGAACCTTCCTTTCCCTTTTCATTCCATTCAGACTGTAAGCCTATTGGTTGGTGCCACCCACACTCATTGTGGGCCTCCTGTTATGCACACCATGAACTATGCTACACCAGCCAGTGGACTAACCTAGGCACCACACACCCAAATCCAGTATTCATGCTCACGAATCAGCCACCTGCCTAAAGCCCCCACCTATGAGTACCTGAAGCTTTGGCGGGGGCATCTAGGTACAGTATAAGCCATAATACCTTCCCTTCTCATAAAGGAATCATACAAATTGCTCCATTTTCTTCTTTAATGGTTGTATATTAAATACTTATATCTCCAATCCTTCTGAAATTTCTTTTGATGTAATCCACAAGTTGATTCTCTTACTTTATTGTGCCAGAGATAGATCCAAGGGCCATAAGCATGCTAGGAAAGCACTCTACTACAAAGCTACCCAATCCCCAGCTCCTAAATCTTTTTGTCTTCTGAATAATCATGCACAATTTAGTAATAAATACAGAATGCATTGTAGGATGTATGCACAACTTAGGAATAAATGTACTATATGTGTTTATTATATTTTGCAATTTTTGGTAAAATCTATCTGTTCCTCACTAAATGGACTTGCTTCTTTATCATGTCATATTGTGTTTTTGGGGTCTACTTTTAAACATTGTATTCTCATTTACTGATTTTTCCATCCTTGAAATAATATTATATTAGTTTAGCTATTGTAACTTTATAATTTGTTTTGTACCTGGCACCACAAGTCCGCTTGTCTGTCATCTAAAGTCTATTAGTGGATCGCTTATCTGTTCAGTGTTCCTCATTGTTCAATCTCTTAGTCTGGATTTTGGTAAATTTAGTTCTTTCACCCTGGGCAGCCTGGAACCCTAGGAAGCACCTGCTCCTAGGGCCTTGGGTGTCTTGGCCTGGCTCTTGGCTACTGAGAATTGTTACAAAGTTGGCACCTGAGGTGACATTGCTGACCGTTTCTAGATGAGGTTGACTTGGAGACTCCTGAAAGCACCTGGGAAAGGGGACCAGCAGTGTTTGTCATCAGTGAGCGCTAGGCTTCTCCTAGTATTCCTGAAGGGTTACTTGAATTCCTTTGTCTCCTACAAACCCTGTCCAAGAACCGTGATGCCATAGGCTCACAGAGTCATAGCCAGGGCAGGAGGCCCTGGAAGACGCATGTCAGTGTCTTGGGTTGGTATTTTCTCCTCTGGCTTCTTTTACTTTACACATGCCTCTATTTTTAGAACAGGATGAATGGCATTCACAGCCTCCACTTTTCAAGGCTCAGACAGTGGGGCACCTGCTTGATGAGGTGCCCATATTCCCAGGCATGTGCTGACTCTGCTAATGACACTGTCCCAGTGACTTCTCTGCTCTGTTCCATCATTTTGATCCGTTGCCAAATTCCTGGGCTTGACACAGGTAAAGAGATGATTCACACGATTCCCAGCTTGGTTTTGAATACATATATACTTATGTATAGAGCAGTGAAGTTGTGTAGCATGCCCAGCGTGACTCAGTGTTGTTTCTGGGTCTCAGAACACTGAAGTTAGTTGTGCTAATGGTTTGCTCTGGAGCCCCCTCTCCAAGGTGAGCCGGGCCCCCTCTTGCTGGCACATCTGGGCAAGGATGCAGTGTGTTCTGAGATACCCTCTCCACCCAGCAGGTGCCATGTGCACAGCAGCCCCGGGGCCCGGAGGGCACAGCAGATGGACAGTCAGCCACAAGGCAATAGCCATCACCTCCAGCCCTCTGGGAGGCTGAGTCAGGAAGATCATAAGTTTGAGCCCACCCTGGGCAGTTTAGTAAGACCCTGCATCACAATAAAAAAAGGCCTGAGAACACCTCAGTGTGAAGGCCCTGGGGTCAATCCTCGGTATCACAAATGTTAAATAAATAAATAAATAATCAAAATAAAAGTGTAACTCCAGCTTGTCTTGTTGGTCCTTGTGATACAGTTGGAAACAACAGAGAATGAGTCTTTTTGTCTAACATCACCTGGCTGGCTAAGAATTTTCCAGAAATATTGAATGCCTTTCCCATTCCCCTCATGGCACCAACTCTTCCATTCAGTCCCTGCTCCCTCCTTTAATGTCTTGTTTACCTGATGGCAGGTGAGGTCAGTGAGACTGAACTTAGCTGCTAGAAAATAATCTCCTTGTTTTGACAGGAAAAGTCTGGGCTCCTCTTTACATCTTATTTTCTACAAATGCCATGGCATTTATCTCCCAGAGAGGGGCTGTTACATCTCTCGAGTTCACCATATCTCTTAAATAAAACCCTTTATCTGTGGAGAGAGCCCATGCCAGGTCCGGACTCTGCTGTTGAATTTTTCTTTCTTCCTTTTTCGATGGAAGGAGAGGACTTCATTTCAGTCCTTTGAGGGTATTTGTTCAGCTCCCTTATGGCAGGACAGCGGAGGAGACCACTGATGAGAGTGACTTGTATGAAACTGTTAGGGGCATGCGCGCGCGCGCACGCGCGCGCGCACACATACACACACACACACACACACTACTGATGGCCTTGAGGCTGTGTTCCTCTTCCTTTGAAAGTCATCTGAAAACTCCGCTTCTATGTGAGCTTATTTGAATTCAGGTGAAGTGTAAGACAGTGGGTGAGGGGTGGCCGTGGAGTACTGTCCTGAACTGAAGCCTCTTGTCCCCTCTTTGGGACTTGAAAGTCACACATACATCTTGATAAGCAGCATCAGCTGTCTTATATTGTCATTCACTCTGTAAATGCTTCTTTCCACAGACAAGGCTTGCTGTGCTTCAGATGTGGGAATGACTGAGCCTCTCCTCAAAGCACAACTTTTGACTTGAAAAAAGGCTACGTGGTGGACACAGAGGACTGAGCCTCCTGGGGCTACTGTCCCCCCCGGGACACCTGCTCTCCTCCTGGGCCATTTCACTCACTCACGGAGTGGGTGGGGAAGAGAACAAGGAGTTGAACTTCAGTTACCCCTGAGATCTTTGCTTTTATTAGAAACCAGAAAATCCTCTTAAGCCGTGCTCATCTCTTCTCGTCCGGTTCTGAAAATGCACAGGACCCTTGCTTCTTCCAGCGGGTGACTGGACCCACATCAGGGGAATCTAACACCATAACCGCAGCTCCCCATTCTGACCCTCACGCTGCTGCATGAACTCTCTCCTCTCGCCTCATCTCCCTGGCAAACAAAACTGACCACCGGAAGGGACTTGCCATCCATCGAAGTCAGCATCTAGGGAAGGAAGAGAGCCTTGGACAAGGTGGCTAATTTTGTCATCCATATTGAACAGCACATCACTCTGGAGTGACACTGCCCCGGGGGCAAGGGGTGGGTATTTCACCTTGATGCCTTAAATGTCCACCTCCAAAATTCAATAAATTTCAATTCTCTGTCACTTAAAGATATTTGTGAGCAAGTTAAGACTCCTTAAGCACTGTGGCTGGGCCCTGGGGGGTAGCTCAGGGTAGAGCTCTAGCATGCTTGAGGCCCTGGGTTCCATCTCTAGCACCACAAGGGGAAAAGTGAGACCAGGGCAGGGGAAGAAGAAACAATTGCTGTTGGATATTCGGGTCTTATAATATGATTTTAATATCAATCTATCTCTTTAGGAGAGAAGCAAATATTTCTTTACTAAAATTCTTTATTTACTTTTCTTTTATATATATTTTTTCTGAGATTAATATGCATCATATATATATATATATATTTTTTTTTTCTTGCTTACCATGCTGGATGTTCCAATGTTGGGTTCAGAAATTCTGAACAATGGGTCAACTCTGTGTCCTTTTCAGAGAGAGACAGAGACAGAGACAGAGACAGAGAGACTATTTGAATCACCAAATGATTCTGTATGGCATCTGTAGGAGGAAACTCATCTGCATGTCCAGAGTGTAAGTCAGGACTCCAAATGCATTTAATTAAGAGCATTCACTGCTTCTGCTTGTTTTTAATTTTGCCAAAATTCTAGGTGACCCAGGAGAACTGTTACTCTTCAGGTATTAAAGATCCCATTGTCCCAGCACTTAGCTACCCCTCTGAGCCCTCAGCCTGGAGAGACCCTGAGAAACACCCTTCCAGAGCCAGCCCTGTCTCCGTGGCCAACCCTCAGGCCCGGGGACAATGATGATGTTCTTAGCCTGCTGTCAGAAGGGCCTGGGGGATGTGACTGATGAGCTGTAGCTGCAGCTATCTTTGACAAAAAGCAGCGGCTGCAGGGGTGGGAGGCTGGGAAAGTAAACACAGCTTCTGCTATCTAGACTCTGTTTCCCATAAAGATGCCTAAGAAAGCCCCTCTCTGTGCAGCGAATCTAACTTCATGTGCCAGCGCCTTTCTGAAGCGAAGCATTTTTACCACAGCAAGCTTTGCAGGGAATTTCAGGGTAGAAGAAAGATCGAAGTCCTCCTCCTTTATTCCTTCTTTCCTTCTTCTTCCTCCTCCTCTTTCTGCTTTTCTTCCTGCTCCCCCTCCACAGTTCCTTCCTCCCCTCTTTCTGACCCTCTGTCCTTTCCACGGCAGAGTCAGCTTCCTCTGGCACCTCAGAGCTGCTGTGTGGCATAAAAGAGCATCGCACAGAACCCAGTAATGGTGTCAGAAACCCTAGAAGATAAGGAACCAGCTGTTTGCTTTGAGGAAATTAATTGTTGGGGGTTTTGCTGTGCAGCCTCTCCCATGGCTGGCCTTGGCGGTATCTAATTTGTTCAGGCAGAGAGCTGCTCACTCTAATCAGATTGCAGCACGCCTCGTTGCTATAGGTGTCCTACTGAAATTCAAGCTGTTCCTATTTCACTGCCAACACAAGTAATTACAGTAACTTTTTAATACATACTTTTGTCCACTGCACTACTGCCATAAAAGCTCTGGAGTTAGGAACAGGTTGTAAATAATCTGCTGCCTGAGCATTTAACCTGCTGTGATTTTTCCTAAAGCCGAAGCGTATCTCCTTAGTGTCACATCCAAGTCATGTGCTGCTCCGCTCAGGTCAGTCTAAGGTCTGGCAGTCGTGATGTCTGTTTCAAATGACCCCTGCAGGCTACTCGAAGCTCAGCAGCCCAAATTCCATCCCTTTCCCCGCTGCTGAAACCGCAGTTCTCTTGGCCCTGCAGACAATTCTCGATTTTCTGCTGCAGCAGCACCAGCACCCAGCGTTTGCAGGGATTGTCCTCACAGAGGAGGAGGAGAGGGCAGACAGTGTGCGGGCTCCTTTTGGCACAGACATGATCTGCAGGAAGAGGAAGGGCTCTTGTGTCTCCCAGTGAACTGAATAGCACCTGGAGAAGCTCACAGGCGTGGGCATCATTGTGACCTTTTATCGTCCTGAGGAGAAGCCATCTGCTTGCCTCCTCTGTAGCAGCAGCAGCAGACAGGGCTAATGATCCCCCAAGGAAATGTCAGATTTGCTAAGATGGAAAAAGCTGAAGCCACACTGGAGCTCATCTGGGCTGTCTTTTAATCATCTGCCAGGTCAATAAACTGCTCCCTGAGCCTGGAATCTTCAAGATGCTGTCTGGTATGGATTCTATGTGAGGCACATAGCACACAGTTGGAAGGACAGACCTGCAGCAGATTTTCGGGCCCCGCTGGCCAAGACACAGGGACAGGCTTGTGAGGTGACACAGACAAAGCTCCTACTTACAGAGCGCCAGGCTCACATGTGGTGCTGCTGCTGCCAGAAGTGACAAGACCCAGGGTATCGAGCTGCCATCTAAATGCCAGGCTCCCTTCAGGGGCAGGGAAGATGATGCCCAGAGGAGCCAAACTTCAGGGAACTGGGGCCATGTGCAAGTTTTCCTAGCTCAGAGAAACCGCGGGATCCCGGCATGCACTCACTCAGACTTTTCAGAAATTTCATGTTCTGTGCTACAAAATAAGGCCATGCATAGCTGTCCCCTAGGCCAGGTGGGTGAGCGGAATGAGTCACATTGCGATCCTGAATCACATTATTTATTATGGGGTAAGTGTCGCTGTGCATGGTGTGACCTTCTCAACCTTTCTGAAAGCTACTCTGTGGGTCTGTGCTCAGCTAGGTTGTGACGGGGACAGCTTGGTCCTCCTGCCAGCCTCTGAGCATACATCTCCCAACTTCCATTAAACGCAGAGTCTTCAGCTTGCCCTGGCTGCACCGCTGGAATCCCGTCTGCTGAAGCAGCAACTTGGCTCACGTGTTCTTCACCCCAATAGGGGTAAACATGGTCCCAAAGAGGCTCTAAATGCTTCAAAGTCACAGTGCTCCTGCAAATTCAAAGTAAAAACATTACTAAGCCATGCGATGAATTCAGCAAAGTCCAATCGAGCTCTTGTTTTCCAGAGATGGCTACTTTAACAGGGTTCTAGGTTAGCTGGTATCCGAAGGATGTGCCCAGTCCGTGCACTCCAGGAAACCAGCTCTGATTGTATCAGCCAGCCAGCTTGGCCTCCTCAGCTCATCTACTGGTGAACTACAAAACCCTGGAGTCCGGAAAGGACAGAGCATGCCTCCCAAGGGGGAGGAAAGAAGAGTGTGCAAGGGTCTTCACAGCAAATGCTGCTTTGACTACAAAAAACGATCCAAATCTTTCAGCCTCAAAAGACGCATCTGCTGAAGGACTTCCTCCCTGTCTAGAAGGTGCCAGGGCAGAACGTGTGGCCCATGGGGGTGAGGAACGGGAGAGCACGGAGCAAGGTTAGAGTCAGAAGACAGGGCTGCCTTTGTTATTTAGAGAAGCATACAGAGCATTTATGGATACAAGGATGTTTGTGAAGTTACTTCCAACAAACAAATCTGGAAAAAGATGAGTGTGTATTATGGTGAAGTGATGGGCAGGAGGAAATACTGTTCTACTCCCCCTCCCCCCTTTTTTTTCTTCTCCCCTCCCCTCTCTTCTTCTTCTTCCCTCCTTCTCCTCTGTCCTGAGGACTGAACGCTAGCCTTTGCACTGAACTGCATCTCTAGCCCTTCTTATATTTTTAAATTTCAAGACAGGGTCTCAGAATTGCTAAGTGGTCCAACCTGAGTTTAAACCTCCAATGCTCTTGCCTCAGCCTCCCAAAATTCTGGAATTATAGTTGTACATGATCAATTCCCAGCTGCATAGATTCTATCTATTTTTCCTGTACCTGAAAAAATTTTCTTTTTCTTTATTTCTTCTTCTTCTTCTTCTTCTTCTTTTTTTTTTGTTTTGTTTTGTTTTGTTTTGTTTTTTGAGACAGGGTCGCAATACGTAGCTCAGGCCAGCCTCAACTCACAGTGATCCTCTTGCTTCTGCCTCCCGAGAGCTGGGATTACAGGTGTGCATCACCATGCCCTGCCTGGAAAATTTTCTTAATAATAGTTTTTTAAAAGCCCAACCCATTGGGATGCCCATTTTGACCTTAATGTTTGTTGGGTAGGTAATGCAAGGTCCGTCACTCGTCCTCTTGGCTTCCTGGTTATAAACTCAGGATATTAATTCTCTTATCTCAAGGTAAGGAGCAGCAGGACCCTTTGCAAACTTTACAGTGCTATCTAGATCTCGGATGTTTCACTGATTAAAGGAGAAGCTATATTCATCTGGTTCTCAAGTAGCAGCCAGTAAGTGGCTGTGATGGATCTGCCTTTTCTGACCCTACGGTGTTTTTCCAGCATGGAGCTAAATGAGAAACCTGGCTCGGTAGAGCTGGTGATGGCAGGCAGGCGGGGCAGAACAGAGACACAGAACATGCTGGGCTTCCAGCTGCTCTTGGATTTCCAGGCTGGACCACAAGAGTTTGAAGAGTGTGGAGACGAGGACAGTGGTCTTCTCATGGCTGCCTCTCAGAGGCCCCCGAGGCAGATGCTGGAGGACACCCAGACACACACGCTTGCCAGCACCGTGGACCAGAGGGTCCTGGGCTTCAGTGTGCTCTGCAGCACTGTGCTGCAGAGGGGCTGTCTCCTTGCTCCCCACTCAGCCTGCAGGGTCTGCTCAGGCAGGGTCCTCATGGAGAGTCTGGCAGGACAGTGGGGTGATCCATTGGTCTCCTGACCGTGCACCACGTTACTCGGCATGAGGTGGGTATCCCAGCCTGTGCATTCTGGGCCTTGCCGGCCTTTCTGAAAGTCTCTCCTCACAGGGCTGGTGCTCAGCCAGGGTGTGAGATGGAGGCAACTGTCCGCTAGCTTCTGAGCATTCTTCTCCCAGTTCTAAACACTCAGGGTGCTGCAGGTGACCGTATCCTTTTCGTGCCCTTCCAGCCTCTTCCCCTCTTTCCTCCTTTCTTTCAAAACTACTCCTAACCAGTTGTTCAAGTGAGACAGGTCTGCAGGCTTTGTTTCCTGCTTCCTTCCTTCCTTCCTTCCTTCCTTCCTTCCTTTCTTTATTGAGAATTAAACCCAGAACTTTCTCAATGAGCTAAACCTCCCACTCTTTTCTACATGTTTAATTTTGAGGCAGGGTCTCAAAATC